CTTTGAGTCATAACTTTATCTCCATTTTTTTACAATAAAGCCTCAAATTCGTCGATTTTTTTCGAAATTCAAATTGGACGATTAAGATGGGCTGGTCACGTACAAAGGATGCACAATACAGCCATTCCAAAAAAAAGTAAGAGTGTTCCGACCAGAAGGACAAAGAAGAATGGGACGCCCTAGAGGGAGATGGATTGATGGAGTGAATGCTGATGCTAGAGGATTAGGAATTTGGAATTGGTGGACCATAGCTTTGGATCGGGAAAGGTGGAAGAAGCTTCTTGCGGAGGCCAAGTCTCAGACATGAGATGTAGTGCCATGGATGATGATGATGTACAAGACGTTAGATATATTTTTTATGTCGTTTTTTTTTATCTACAATACGTATCGATACGATGTATCGGTACATTCAGGTTACATCGCCCATCTCTAGAACTCACACCGGGCACCGCCTCTGCTTCGTGATTGAAAGGGCAACTTTTAAATCACGCACGAAAACCGGTTTTGGGGAGGCCGACCGTTTCAACTTTACTCGGAATTAATGGATAAATAATTGTTATTTCTTGTTTCTAGAAGACCTCAGAAACGGTTTCCAATGATTAAGAAAAGTTCCGAAAGTAAGCCAAAAATGAATTTTTTTTACATCCTTCTTTAATTTATGATTTAAAAATAAAGTTAATACAGAGGTTTTTCATTATAACGATTCAGGAGGTCAAGCATGATCAATTTTCTTTTCACTCCCAACTGCTGTTAACCGAAAGTAGACAAAATTGGAGGAAGTATGCGTCTCACCGATGTTGAATTCTTTGTCACGCATGTTCGCAATAATCATAATGTGATTCGAAATCAAGTTTCTCGCATAAGCTTATTATGTATACAACTAATTTTAGAGATAAAATTATATCTAATAATTAAAGCGATGCTGCGTTCTGCAGAAGCCATAAATGAAACTGCGATCATTAAGTTTTAAAGTTATTTTTCCTCGATAATAGTTGCTATCTGTGTAATTATATACATTAACAGACACCTCGTCAATGACTTTGATCGTCACATATGTGATAAAGATCATCCTCCTGAGCATTTCGATTACTTGAAATTCTTGATCCATGGTAGCAACTTTTGTTTACAATCAAATTTATCATTACTTGTATAGTTTTCTAAAATACATACCTGAAGTAATATTTTAATTGTATCAGGTATTGACCACAATATGAATTCACTGAACGAAACAACATTGATAAATAAGTATATCAACAGATCAAAAATCGATTCTCTATTGAAGGAATCGATTCGTACAAAAAGTATCGCGAATTTTGAATTTCCGCGGGTTACGTATATTCGATTTTCGATTTTTTTGTGGCGTTATGTTGGTACTCATATCCCTCACTTATGCCGACAAGTTCGGCCATTTTGAATATTCAGTTTATTTTTGACAGCTGTTTTGCTTGGACGTGTTTTGGCTCGTCTTCGATTTTTGCCTATTCCAAAAAATGGATCAAAGAATCTAACAAAATTAAGTGCGCGGACGCATTCCGAATGTTGACTGTGGCATATGGTGAAGCTACCTTGGACCGAAGCAACGTTTATCGGTGGTACAAAATGTTCTCAGAGGGCCGAGAAGATGTGAACGACGAAGAGCGTGCCGGACGCCCGAGCACGTCAACAACAGACGAAAACATTGATGAAGTGAAGAAAATAATATTGGCCAATAGTCGAATCACCGTTAGAGAAGTTGCTGAGGACCTAAACATATCGATTGGCTCGTGCCATTCGATTTTTACTAATGATTTGGGCATGAGACGGGTCGCCGCGAAATTCGTACCAACGCCCCTGCTCACACACCGTTGCTTGTGCGCGAATTTTTGGCCAAAAACAACACACTAATGATGCCGCAGCCACCGTATTCCCCAGACCTGGCCCCCTGTGACTTTTTCTTGTTCCCGAAACTGAAGAGGCACATGAAAGGACGACGCTACGCTACGATTGAGGAGATAAAGACGGCATCGAAGGAGGAGCTGAACAAGATCACAAAAAATGATTTTTTGAAGTGCTTCGAGGATTGGAAAAAACGTTGGCACAAGTGTATAATATCTGATGGGGATTACTTTGAAGGAGACAAAATAGATATTCATGAATAAATAAATAATTTTTGAAAAAACACAAAATTCGCGATACTTTTTGAACAGACTTCGTACGTAACGGGAAAGAATCAATTTGAAAATCGATTTGTATATTTTTTAAAAATATAGATTTTCTAAAAATTGAATCGAGATCACCCATCACTAGTTAGCATGGCGTTACTATACCGCGGAGGACCCGTCTCTACATCGCCAGGCAATGATTGCGGCCAGTTGCAATTTCTGTTGTTAGTCAGTTATTTATTGAAGAATATAATAAAGATTGTGTTACTGAGTTACCGAGTTCGTTAATGAAATCTTGTACATTCATTTTATCTCTCCCTGTGATCACAAAACAAAATGAGAGGAGAGCACAAGACACTTTCCCACACACTTTGTATTAGTGTTTTGGATAAATCCTTGTATTAATATTTTTACATTAATATATATTTTATAATATTTTTTCTCGTGTTTTTTTTTAATCAAATTATAATTTTTGGCTAATAATTATAATTTAAGTCCTTTACACAGGTCCAATATGATCAAATAATATCTTTAACGAAAAGAATTGCTAATCACTCACAAATATCCAGGTACAAGCTCTTTGCTATATAACTCCGCGTCCTCCCAACATTCCAAGTTCACAGCAGCGATAAAAGCCGTATCCAGTGTGCGTATGTGTTGTATATTGAAACTATGCAATATGCCTTTTTGTTTTTTCAGACATATTTTGCTAACATCAAGATCTATTATTATTAATAAGGATAAATACAGAAATCAAATAATATATAACATTATATTTATTGTGTTAAGGTTTTCATAAATCATAATTTCTTCACATTTATAAGGATACAAGCCATTGTCTTCATTGTCTCTAAATGGTGGGTAGTAAAATCCTTAACTTCATAAAAAGACCTTATGAAATTCTCTGATAGTTTCGTGCCACATTTCTCACATTTGTCATTTTCGATCAAGCACGGAAAATCACACGACGAATTTGGACATGCAGCTGCCTCAGCCATGGGTTCCGCTTGTTTGCATTTTTCGCAATTACAACAAAAATAATATGAATGATGCAGTTCCCCTTGTCTATCTTTATTGGAATTCAATAAATCAACATACGATATTCTGATCTGTATATGAAATAAAATTGCATTAATATATTTTAAATAATATATTATACGATATGTTACATATATTAATACTTTGTTAATGAGAAAGTTATTCATTAATTTAAGGCTCTTGGGTTAAAAAATCAATTAAAATAGAAATAGGTCAATAAGAGCAAACACTGGTTGGATTGCGCAAATAAAAATTAACCAAATGGTTAGTAAAATCTATTAAATAGACATAAACGTTTCGATCCCGTTTTGGACTATTTTCAATGTAATACGCTTATAATTAAAAAAGTTTTTATTCGCATGAAATAATTTTAGTATGCAGTACGTAACGATGTCGTGACCGATGACTCTACATACGACGATGGTAGGTCTTCATTAATAGCACTTCATTCTAGAATCAAATTGCAAAAAGTGTCTATGGTGTAGGAGAAGCCAAAATTGTAACAGGTGCATTTACAAATGCATCCGTAACTCTGAAAAATCAAACGCCAACAATTTTAAATAAAAAATGGTAGTCAAATCACTAGACATTTAAAATAGAATATGTTTGTAATCGTTGATAGTGTTTGCCGGTATCTAGATATAATTATCTAAATAATCATCCTGATGAATATATAGATCATCTTTATTTTTATCTACATGAAGAAATACAAAATATATTCATTTTCATTTTAAATTTTAAAAAATGTTATCTCATCTAACAATTATCTGGAATGATGGTATGGTCCATATTCTGAACTCACTTTTCCATAAAATGAATGAAATAATATGGACCTATGTGTTAAGTCCGTATCAGACTAAGGATTGGAGATTAGATTTTAACGAATCAACAAATTTCGGTTTCGTTTCCTTTGGTTTGTTCTTTTGAACTGCATTGCTGAACTGGTGCAATAAGTTAGAACGAGACAAAATATGCTTGTCTCACTGTAACTTATTATACTAATTCAGCAGTGCAACTAAAAAGAACAGACCATTTGTTTTAATCGATCAGTCTACTTGAAGCCTGTATCAAACTGTCGACAGTGAGTAAGCAGTCAATGATTGATGATGGTCTTTTTTGTTAGATCTTTAAAGGATCCTCTTTAGAGCGATTACGTTGGTGAATTATTTAACCGTTATATAATTTCTTTGATCTGCGTAATTTTTATTATAAATTTTTATAAAGTCCCTCATGAAAATATCATACAATATCATATAAAAAATTATCTAGATAAGTAGCACTACGTATCTTAACTTTAATCTAGATAAATCAAAAGCAAATTCATCTTCATCTCATCTAAGATGAATTTTCCGGATTTTCATCACATCTCATCTAAGACGAATTTTTCGGATTTTCATCTCATCTTCATTTGGACAAATCTGATATCATCAAAAACAAACATTGACCGTCGATCTGTAAGTATCTAGATGTCATCAACCATTAACAAATATATTCCATTTTTAATTTCTAACAATTTGACTACTATTTTTGACTCAAAATTGTTGGCATTTGATTTTTCAGAGTTACAAATGCATTTGTAAATACAATCCTCATAATTTTTGCTTCTTCATCATGGACATTTTTTGTAATTTAGATTCTGGAATGAGGTGCTATTAATGAAGACCAACCATCCTCGATAATATGTAGTCATCGGTTACGACATCGTTGAATACTGCGTACTAAAATTACTTCATGCGAGCGAAAACTGTTTTAATTGTAAATGTCACAATGAAAATAGTCTAAAATAGTCTAAATGAGACTGAAACGTCTGTGTTTATTTAATAGATTTTACTAACTACTTGATTCGTTAATTTTTATTTGCGCAAATTCAACCAGCAATTGCTTTTATTGGCTATGTTTCTGTTTTAAAAGAAAATTATTAGCATTTCAAACATAAAGATTTATAAATGCACTCTATATATTTAATTGATGTACTTATTACTTGAAGATATTCGCCTGCTACAGACAAGATTACTGTTCTTTGCTTGACTATTAGTAAACTATTAATTAGATTTTCCAGTTATAAGCAGTTAAACACGCATATACGGATATATAGAAAATTGTAGAAAATTTAAGAATAGTCATAAAGTTTATAAATAAAATAAATTTTCTTGATTTTTTAATTTTGTATCATTTTTATTAATTTTGTTGATACTTGCCTGTGACCAATCCAGAAAAGGAAGATCCACTAATGTCCTAACAATAATAGTAGTTCCTTCGAAAACAGCAACTGCATTTGGTTTGCAACTATGATCCATTACAGAAGCTCCCAGATAAATACCAACTCCAATACTGTTCATATTAAGATCTAATATATTAAAGGAATTGATACATATTCTACCATAAATACCCATTAGTTCTGCAGTATTGGGTATTAGAGTTTCACCAAGAAATTCAAGCAAAACTCCACACAATGAAGTAAAATGCTCCATTCGCTTTATATCTTTCTTTATGTCTGAATAATCTATATACAAGATATATATAAGCTGATTATACTTTTATATTTTGTTCTTCAAATAACTCTCTTTTGTAAAAAAATATATGCGGATACAAATTAAAAATATCAAAAGCTTACTTACGAGACATTAAATCCTTGAATTTTCTAAAGTTTGTTTCACTATAATAACCTATTTCATCAGCTCCACCTTGATTGAGTTTTATAATTACACGTGCCATAAGCCGTGCTGCATCTGGTATTACTTTTGGCGAAATTTTTTTTAAGTTTGTACATTCCGTTTTATGTATAGGCCAAGATTCTCTCTGACAATTATGATCGCAGTAATATACGTATTGACATCCGGAACATTTTGACAGCTTACCACTGTAATAAATTATATTTCATAAAATAAAATAAAATTGGTAAATAGAAAATATATTTACATTTGACAATTTTTATTTTATTTTATTGGTAATAAAAATAATTTAATTGAAAATAATTTATACACACACACACACACACACACACACACACACACACACACACACACACACACACACACACACACACACATATATATTTATTTTTAACATAGCTTAAGATAATTATAAATCACATAAATCTTTCACTATCTTAATTATTTTACCACTGTATTACCTTGTCAGGCAATTGTCACATCGTACAGTATTGTATTTGGACGTGAGAACATAAGCAAATGGTTTGCTAGTAAAAATAGTTGTTCCTTTTTTTACAGTAACAAGATTATCACTCATTTTACACGCAGAAATGCAAAATACATCGACGAAATACTCTCTTTAAAGTAAAGTCTAACCTAAATCGCTTATGCGATGTGCCTGCATCGTGCAATTGGTCGAACGAAGAGACATCAATACCGTGTTTCATAACCCTTATATTTGTAATTCACTACCGACAATAGGGCTCATTCTTTTGCGTTATATTTTGTTGTACTTTTTGTAATCTTCTTTTTCCTCTGTCCTTTATTACCTGAGTATATATGTTGTATATATTGTATAATTATCCTAATATAGAGAACAAATGTAATGTATTTAAAAAGAACAAACTAAATTGTTATTGTCATGTAATTTTTCTGTATAATACACACGAATAATATTGTAATAAAGGACATTTGTATGTAAACTATTTTTTTATTACAAAGAATGTGAAATTCTTCAAATATTTGATTAATTAAAAAAAAAAGCGTAAATATAGTTTATTATTACTATTACAGACGTTTTTGACTATATTTAATTGCGCTTCCCACACTTTTTATCTTCAGTCAATTTTTTTATATAATTGTCATACTTTAAATGCAAAAAATGTAAGAAAGTGCAACTTAAACAAATCTTAAATCTTTTTTTGTTTCTTTACATTTTTTGTATAATGTGAAATAAAAATAAGAATACATATATGTAAACTATGAATAAAGTAAGCTAAGAATAAAGTAAAAATGAGGTATAGACTTAAAAAGCACATTAAATTTCTATTTACATTATTAGATGCTGCAATAATATGGTGTTTTCTCAAATTATTAAACTTATGTATGATTTTTTAACTCCAGAAGATATAATCTCTTATTCAATATATATCTTATTATAACTCTGTATATAAAAATTACATCCACAATATACACAAAATAACAATACAATATCATTACATTAATAACCGTTTTTTTAACCTATAACATTTCTTCAACTTATTACAGCATGTCAATCTTGTCCTAAATATTACTGGAGGAAGAAAAATTATATGTATCTATATATAAAGATTACATTGCACAATAGTTTTGTCATTAGAGAAATATACTGGATTTTTCTACAAATTAGATTAATAAACGTTAATAATGTTCGGTGATGCTGGGGGATTGCTCAAATGAAGGATTGGAGGAATAACAATACAAAAATTTTATCAAGAAATATGTGTATATATGTATATATGTACACATATATGCATTTATATTATATACATACACATATATATGTACATGTATGCATATGTTTATATAGATATATACACACACATACACATATGTATATGCTTTTATATATGTATGTACACACGTATGTGTATGTGTGTGTGTATATATATATATATATATATATATATACACACACGCGCGTGTGTGTATACATATATATAATTTTTTTTCCATACCTTTGTAAACAATAGTCGCATCTTTCATCGCGCACTGCCGACCTTACAACATAGGAAAATGGATTTTCACATAAAATAGTAGTACCTTTGCTGACAGGTACACGCTTACAATATTGACTCTTGATTCTCATTTCTTTCAGACTTTTCAGATTCTACCTTTTTTCGCTAGATATTTTTTAATCACTTCTGTGTAATGTACGTCGAGAAACGTTACACTTTTCCTACTGTTTCATACGACTGCACTTCCTTTTCGTCTTTCTCTCTTGTGCTTTTAGTTTCACTTTGCTGACGTAGGAGACTCGAACGCGTGTTCTATTTTAAGATTGGTTTATTTTTACATGAAATATAATTGGAACTAATAACAGAACCCTTAATCTGGTGATTTCTTATTAACGCCTTTCTCTCATCCTTTTTTCTAAATTATATATTTAAAACAAACCTGGTACGCTTTTTACAAACACTCAGTTCAATTAAAGAAATTATAATAGAATTAGTCAACGAATCTCCACTAAGAATTTATATATCTTAGATTTTCAAACAATGCGAAAATATATCGGTACTAGAACTCAAGTCTTGAAGCGATTGGTTCGGCACAATTAAAAGTGAGCGAAATTAAAAACATATGGAAAAAAATATATTTCCTCCATTGACCGCAGTGTCACATATATAACGTCATCTTTCATAGTATAAATTATACTATTTGTATACGGTGTTTTTTATTTCTTTTTTTCCACGTTAACTTTATAGTATTAAATAAGATATTAGATAGTTTTATGGATTATTTTACATTCTTTCGAGTGTCTGGTCTCACAGTGTGTGCGTTAGTATGAATTAACCGTACGACGATCGTCCTGGGCCATTATTCCGCACATGCCTATCGACAACTATTGGTTCGGTATGTGTTGCACATGGATAATATATAATCATGTAATATAATATAATCATATAATCAGATATAAAAATGCTGTACGACATTTACCAAACCTATAGTTGATAGTAAGTCCGCACAGAATACAGTTTCTGGACTGATGATATATATCTCGACATACTGCATTTCTTCCTTTGAAGTTTTGACACACAACGAATCATCTAAGATTTCTTTGAGCATACAAAGGGATAGGAATGGGAGACATGTTTGCTTAACTTTTGTGATAACCCAATAATTGCGTACTCCTAATATCCTTAGTAATGCCTCTTTTACCATTCTTTCTTATGTTCATCCATCGATACTCCACCTGGACCTAGGGAAACTATCATCAAGAGGCCTCCAATAACTGATAATGTCTATAACAAAATATGAATTCATGAATTAGCTTTTCTTTCTCCTCCTCTCATTCACTTTGTTCAAACGTAGATAGTATTATAGACAAAATATGATTAAATTAGCAAAATTAAACTCACCTGGAAGAAATCGTACTTGAGGAAGTCCCTGAGCGGTTTATAATCGGGAATACTCCACCACGCATTATGGTAGAAATTAAGTCCAGTGAGTAGCAGCACAAGTAACAACGCACTCAGCTTAGTTTTATAACCAATCGTTACCAGTACCATGAGGATGCTGCCAAGGATGTCTTGCAGAATTTGCAGAAAAGATATCTCGAAACGAATCAGAGTGATGAACATAAATGCCAGTAAGATTCGACCGGCGAGTTGCAGCAAATTTTTGGGTTTGTTATCACCAAGGCTAGGCACACCAGCAAATAACGATCTGCCTTCTACCCTAGACTCAGCCAGTACTAATAGAAGTGCTCCAATTAGCGCCAAATTTCTGAACAAAAACTGCATGTCCCACAGGATACTATAGGCGATGGTCTGCAGAATCACTATGAAGAATAGAATACCACAGGCTATGCTAACTCGCCATCTGCTAATCACCATGACACATCCACCCAGCTGACCAACTAAATTTATTAGAACAAACATGGTTGCCAGAAATTTGCCACAGCCCCATGAAGCATTCATATATTCTCTTTGTTCACTCCATTGAAACCACATTCGTAGACCATCTTCCAGGAATGTGGCTATGAGACATAATCTTGCCAATGTTGGAAGCACATGTTTGCCATTGCGAATTACCTGTAATGTAATAATAGAATAATTATATTATTAGTAGTGGTAGTGATATGTTTGTATGCATACGTATGTGATTAAATTAAATAAATATAAAATTTATTCAACTCTTTGTAATTGAGTACAAAATCAGTAAAGCCTCATTAAATCTTGTTAGATATTACAAATACAAAATGACTAAAGTTATATTCTTATCAACAGTAAATTCTTCAGCAAATTCAGAATTTATTATGTTTTATTAAGAACTATATTTTTGTGATATTTATATTTTTTATTAATCCATACAAGTTAATCAATAATAAAGAATAAATATATAGATTGACAAGCTTCTTAAATCAAATTAATTTTAAATTGGCCTAACAATGAAAATGTTATTACATATAAAATATTATATATAAAAATAAGTCTGTAGGAATTAGGATAACAATTCATATATTGTATAAGAGATCACATACACACACACACACACACAGATATAGTACATAATCAGATCAATTTCATTTGATCATAATATCCTTAATGACAAATAAAAATTAATCATTGTACCATCTGTTAAATTTAATTGCAGGTGTGCAATAACAATTAATGACATAACGATGACTGTTATTATCGATATCTGGAGAGTCATAGTCATTTGGTGCAGAAATATACACACATATGTGACTAGAAAGGTATCTTTTTTAAAGAATCTGTTCCCGTTAATCATATAGTATATTTATGGTGATCAGTAAAGAGAGAATGTAAAATCTGGTCTCAGTTGAATCAGCGCTTTTTTTAGCGGTAGATTGCGATGATTATTTTACCTAGTTTTGTTCAATTTCAACCAGTTTCTGTTATATTTGTGCATTTTATAACCTGCAATTTTTTACAGGTAAAACAAATCCACGTCATAGACGCACAATTTGTGAAAAATTCGCAAGAATATGCAGATACATGGAAATATGCGGCCGCGATGACGTTCACAATAGATGTACGGAGTTACTATCCCTTTTTTTATAAGATTTAAATTGTTCATTTTCATTTTTCCCCTCAAGTTTTTTTAAGCAAATCCCACGATCAGTACTACGACTTGTACTGCGATGAAGAAAAGTTTGGGACCGCGCTAGAAATTCATCACCTGGTCAGCGATCTCCTCCGCTTTCGATACCATCTCCTGTGAAATCACCATTGTGTTTTATTCAAAACTCGAAAAAGTGGCCATACACACTGACGTATACACGTGCGCGCACGCAAGTGACACGACAGCGACAACGCGCGGAGCAAAACGTCTAAAGCAAACTGATGGAAGTGGGAAGACACAAATCACGAGAGAAGGAAAGAGACAGAAAGAAATAGAAAGCTCGCGGTTGGTGCAAAGTTGCCGAAGAAATTCGAAAATATCCGAACGCAATCGAGCCACTATGAATGATGTGGAGATGGGTTGGCCAATGTGGCGCGTCATTTCCGGTGTACGTGGTATTTAGGCTGTGTTCCAAAATTCACTGGTAGCGCTGAAAGTTTACAGTTCATGTTAGTCCTGTTTTACAATAGATACTTTAAGATTTAAGGTTTAAAATACTTATTGTAAACCGGAACTTAGGGTGCCTTCCTATGCGGTGTAACTTGCGTAAGCGTAACTTGCGTAATAGCCAATCAAATCGTTTTAATTACCGAATTACCAATTACCACGGCGGATTTGATTGGCTAATGTCAGTTACGCGAATGCAAGTTACGTCGCATGGGGAGACAGACTTAAAGTCACATGCGGCATAATTTGCGTAAGCATAATCTGCGTATTCTAATAATTTACTAGAAACTATGTCATTCTAAAAATCGGTACACATAGCGTGTATTTCATTAAATTTATGTAAAGCGTAACCAATAACTTCGTAAAACTGACTAATAACAGCTAAGGCCTTCTGTTGTACAATAGAGCAGAAATACTAAATGGGTTCTTGATTGGTTGTTTTTATTTACGCGTTTGATTAATTACGCACTATCGGATACTTTGTACGTAAGAATGTATGGAAGTGCAATGTATGTAGCCGTGAACAACAAAGTTTATGTTATAACTGAAAAGCCATCTGCAATATTCACCTTTGTGCTACATTAAAAAAGAAAATACGATAGTGAAAATGTATAAGACGTAGCAGTCTACTAAAATTATCCCAAATGTTCAAATGTAGATTATACCATAAGTATTAAGCATAACCTTGAAATGATTTTGTTATGCAAGTGATATACTGAATTACATTCAATTATTGAATAGGTTATTTTTAGAAATTTTATATAAAATTTCAAAGAAGAATTGGTTACTTTACCCGAATTTGATCAGTTTTTTCTCAAAACCAAAAAACTCTGTAATCGTCTCCAAATACCCACAAGTCACTAATACACATGCATCATCAGTTTTTGCGAACTATTGAATTTGGCATATCGATAATGTCGTAAAATGCGTCAAATAACTAAGCGGATTTGCATATGGTAGTTGAAACGATTTGATTGGCTGACGCAAGTTACGCCGAATGGGGAGGCAGCCTTAGACTGAGACTTAAGTCTTAAGAAATTGACCAATCACAATCGAATTATGGAAGAATAATAAATTGTGATAATCAATTATCTCTTCACATTCAACAGTGATTGGACAATTTCTTAAGGCTTAAGGTTTAAAATATTTATTGTGGATCGACACTTAGTTTCTGTTTGCAATAGATGCTTTAAGCTCTAAGCCTCAAGAAATTGGCCAATCATAGTCGAATATGAAGTGAAAAATCGACTGCGATTGGTCAATTACTTGAAGCTAAAAATTTAAATTTTTCTTGTAGACCCTGCTATACGTATAGTTTAGACCCTGTTATATAGTATAGTATAGATTTTCAGCGCTGACCGTGAATATTGGAACACAGACTTTATAGAAGTTGCATCGTGCAGCGTTGATGATCGTTGTTGCTTCTAAAACAAGAAGCACACACTTCGGCATAGCGCATAATGCATAATGTATAAGAAAGTGAGCCAATCAACATTTTCCGTTTCCACGAAGATACAAATATAGAACTCTGGTATATTATTTTATGTATCATGCTAACGCAAGCGTAATTGCGTTATATCAAATTATATGCTTCCCGCTTACTGGAGAATTCACACTTTAACTGAAAAGCAGCAGCCAATCAGAACTCGAGCTAGTAGTCGACAGTTTCTTCTTTATCTAATATTAAAGATATATTTTATATAACAATCGCAACGCTCAAAACGCCCTTCGCACTGTTCTACTTAAAACCTGCGGCGTACTCTGGGTATTGTTGTAACTAGTTTTATAACTAGCTTTCTATCGTTCACACGCCCGCATTAATGGGTGTGTTCAGGAAGACACTCTCTAATGCTACCGTAAGATTCTATCTTTATTAGTATTTACATATACTGCAACCGGAAGTCCAGTCGCGTAAGGGAGCGCGGCTGACCGGAAAAAAAGTAAAGAAGACCTCCGGTAGGTGGCATCGCATACTCAGGCTGATACAAAAGTGAGGCGCGACTGCAATTGGCTGGGGCAGACAGCGAATCAGGAAGGATCGCGAAAAAGAGGTAACGTTTGAAATTGAGAAAGAAGCAAGGGAAACAGTTGCGAGCGGACGCTAGAGAAGAGAAGACGTGGAAGAAGGAAGCAAAGAACTGCGTAGAGGATAGGAACGATGGGGTCTCCAAGGGACGACGAATAAGAAATCTTACCTGGAAAGGAGGCTCGGTGCCAGCCCACGAGTAGAGGTCTGGGAGACGCGGGGAAATGACCGGTCGCTTTTGCGATGGTAAGTGGACTAAAGATTTGTCACTGTTCCGCCTCGTAATTTTCTCTCGTCCGAGACCTTTCGTCGAGGAAATAAAGCGTCGGGTGGGGTAAATCAACGCGGGTCGCGACGACGGCGGCCAGAATCTGAGGACCACCCGGGTATGACAAACGACGCATATTGCGTTGTCTCGCCGTGCGTGTCCGATCGTTTTTCGGCTTGTTACGGCGAGAGTCCTGCGTCGCAATAGGGCGAGATAAAAAAAAGGCCGCGGATGAAACTGCGTGCGGTATTTCTTTTATCAACGTGCCGGTTCGCGGAAATAATTCCGTCTTCCAGGAATAGTGTTCATACGAGTTAGGCTCGTGTTGTATTCGTTCGGATTTCCTTCTATGATTGTTAGTCGCGTTTTATTGTAAATATTACCTATACATTGGGTCATCATACAGATATACATATAGTTATTTCGCAGTTTCTAAGCGCGTTTATCCTAATCAAGCCATTCATAGTATTTTCTTGTATTTTTGCGTTATTCCTTATAGTATTTGTAATCTTGCGACGTTCCTCGCTTCCAGATCTTACTTGCGGCGGGAACCTCCTCGTGTATCGGGGAGAGAGTATCGGCTGCGGCCCTTGGATGGCTCGCCGGATGTCCAGGTTCGGTTTGGGAAGAGAAGAGAGTTTTGACTTCGTAACAACAATATATTGGTAATACAAATAAGTTTCCGCCGTTTTTTTAAATAAAAATTATCAATTTATTGTAAAAAAATGTACGTTACATTTTATTCAAAATATTGTCCGTCACTAGCTACTACTTTTTGCCATCTTTCTGGCAGCATTCAGATGCCACGTCGAAAAAACTCTTCATCTTTTGATGCTACCCATGAATCGATCCAATTTTTGGCTTCTTCGTAAGAAGTGAAGTGCTGCTCGACCAGGGCGTGAGCCATCGACCGGAACAAGTGGTAGTCCGAAGGAGCAACGTCTGGAGAGTACAGCGGGTGGGGTAGGACTTCCCATTTCAACGTTTCCAAGTATGTCTTGACCACTTTTGCCACATGGGGTCGAGCATTGTTATGCTGCAAAATCACTTTCTCGTGTCTCTCGGCGTAGTGCGGCCGCTTGTCTTTCAATGCTCGGCTCAAACGCATCAATTGAGTTCGATACCGATCGCCTGTGATCGTTTCAGTTGGTTTTAATAGCTCGTAATACACTACGCCGAGCTGATCCCACCAAATACAGAGCATTATCTTGGAGCCATGAATGTTCGGTTTGGCCGTCGATGTGGAAGCATGGCCGGGAACTCCCCATGATTTTCTGCGCTTGGGGTTATTGTAATGAACCCATTTTTCATCTCCAGTCTCAATGCGATGCAGAAATCCTTTTCGTTTTTGCCTTTCAAGCAGCTGTTCACAAGCAAACAAACGCCGTTCAACATCTCTTGGCTTCAACTCGTACGGCACCCAATACCCTTGCTTTTGAATCATTCCCATGACTTTGAGGCGCTTCGAAATGGCTTGTTGAGTCACTTCCAATGATTGTGCCAGTTTTTTCTGAGTTTGACACGAGTCTTCATCAAGTAATGCCTCCATTTCAGCATCTTCAAAAATCTTTCCTTTTCCACCACTATGCCGGTTTTCGACGTGAAAATCACCGTTCGTGAAGCGTTGAAACCACTCACGACACGTTCTTACACTAATAGCGATCTCACCATAGGTATTTGAGAGCATTTGATAAGCCTCAGCCGCAGATTTCTTCAAATTGAAGCAGAAAAGTAAAACCTCCCGCAAATGACGAGAATTCGGCTCGTAAACTGACATCTTCAATCGACGATAACTTTATGGTACAGATACAAATCGACTAATGTAACTATTAAGTCATGTTGACAGATGCCCAAGTTGATTGTATGACGTATATGATCTATTTACTTTGACCACTAAGTTCCACTAAAGCCATCTATCATAGGGAAACGGCGGGAGCAAAGTTGTGTTCACCTAATATATAAGTACACAAGTACCAAAAGCTAATTACGAGAGAAGAATCGCCTTCTCAACGAATACGCGCGTTTTTATATGTTGCTTTGTCGCTGAGAGTCGTTTTCTGGTTGGCTGATGGAGTCGTGGAGATGGAAAAAATTCATTCCATTGGTATGATATCACCGCGTCGATATCGCCGCGTCGGTCCTGAGTGGTGTTTGGATTTAGGTTTCATGCTCCTGTTTATGTTAGCGACGGGATGCTTTATCGCATTGAAAGATTACAGTTTCTCTTGTCTATAGTCATCAAGAAACACTTCATTTTAGGCACTCTATCCTTTATGAGTTCCAACTTGGTCATAATGCGACGGAAGCTCATAAAAAATTTGTGTTTCGTCTTCGAGAAAACGTATTTTTCAGATGGGTTAAAGAAGTTGGAGCATCGCTGGGTCAAGTGTATCGAGCTAAAAGGAGACTATGTTGAGAAATAAATCGCTACTTTTCCAAAATTTTCGTTTTTCTTTTGTAGGCTAAGTACTTATCGGACCGCCCTCGTATGTTTCCTTTTCATCCTCTTCTCGTGCTTAAATCTGCGCTAATTTTCTTTAACGGCTTCAATCTTGAATATCTAGTATATTCATAACATACGTTGCTCTGAAAGTTTTGCGTTTCGGTTATTTCTCATATAATGACGTTATCGACAATAAATTTTCAAACTCTTTAACATTTCTTATGCTGAATAGCTATGACAGATTATTAAAATATTTTTTTCTATTTTTACGCGCATTTTTACAGTAATTTTGCAGAAAATCATTTTGATTGATAAAATGGAATTAACACGAGAACATTATCGAGCCATGATTTTCTATGATTTTAAAGAGGGGCTGACTCAACAACAGTGCTCGCAAAAAATGAAGCGATTGTTTGGCGATGAAGCACCATCCTTGGCAACTGTCGAACGGTAGTTTAACGAATTCCAGCGTGGACGTGTTTCGCTCAAAGACGAGCATCGTGAAGGGCGGTCTGCCACTGCAGTCACTGCAGAAAACATCGACGCTGTGCACCATGATAGAGGCAGATAACCACTGCACATTCAGGGATATTCAGGTATCCTTAGGCATAAGTATGACCCAAATCAAAATCATCTTACATGATCATCTTGCCGTAGGTAAGCTTTGTGCTCGATGGATATTACACAATTTAACGCAAGCTCAAAAGAAAGCGCGTGTGGACTGGTGCAAGAAAATGATCAAGAAATTTAACCGAGGTCAGACAAAATCAATGTTTAACATCGGAACGGGTGACAAAACTTGGATTTATTGTTACAAGCAAGAAAGTAAGCGACAATCGGCTCAGTGGATCTTTCAAGACGAAGAGAAACCTACGAAAGTGAAACGCGGACGAAGCTGGCATGAAAATGGTGGCTTCTTTCTTTAGACGCACGGGTCATGTTGCCACTGTTCCATTAGAGGACCGCCGTATAGTCAATGCCAAATGGTACACCAGCATTTGTTTGCCAACTGTTTTCGGAAAAGTACGTGAGAAACGACTAAGAGGGCGAATCCTGTTGTATCAAGACAATGTACAATCACATAATATAGCTCAAACAATAGAGTTTTTGGCCGTTTCAGGAGTGGAAGTGATGACTCACCCGCCTTATAGTCCCGACCTAGCACTTTATGACTTTTTCCTTTTTTCATTCATTAAAGAAAAAAACGCGTGGATTGAAATTCATTAACTCGGAAGCGGCGGTGGAAGTCTACGAAAACCTTGTTTCTGGTAGATACAAAATAGTGGTTACAGTGTTTTCAAGACTGGTTTCACCGGATGTTGAAGTGCATAGATCATAAAGACGAATATTTTGAAAAACGATAGAAAAAATTTGTTTAAATTAATTAAAATTTATTGCCATCCGCAAAACTTTCAGAACAACCTACTTATAAGGCAACGTTGTAGGCTATTCTTCCACGAGTCGTGCGCGACGAGCAAGCGACGATTTACTACGTGACGTCGTATGTCTACTTAGAGCAGTACATTTCCTACTTTCTCTGCGATCCGTTCATCGCAGCTCATACGAGTATCTATAAGTCTACTTACAAATGTCTCGCGTATGCGCGTATCTCTCTCTCTCTCTCTCTTTCTTTTTTTCTTCCTCTCTTTAGTATATACATAACGTCCGCTTACGAGATAAATCGAAGAAGATTTATTTGCAGGAATGTCGATTTATTTATGTAATCGAGATGCTTCCTTGGTACGCCTCAACGATGTTGCACAATACTGTTACAAAATTTTCAAAGCACATCGTAACTTGTCGCAAATAATTCTAAGCGCAATATTTATTTTTCTTTATATCTATTTACTTTCCTTTATAATTAATATATGTCAGTTAATCTTTAAAAAAAATTAATGTCATTTCAGCCACAATTTCTTAATTATATTTAACATTAGTGTGACTTTTTAGCCGTTCTACATAGAAAGTTAGTGCAATTATATTTATCTTTAGGAAGCTAAGTTTCTGCAACATATAATAGTATTTTTACAAAAAGAAAAAGGAAAAAAGAAAGGCGTACATTAGTTAGTTACGAAACGTTGCTCGCACGATTGGTTCCACGTCGCCGAATCGAATTATCGGCAGGTAAAGGAGTTTCGGAGCTTTCTCGATGTCATTTCCCCTGTCAGCTTTCTGATCATCGCTCGCGTAGCAATAGACACAGTCTACCATATTTCGCATACAGCAACCGTTGTAAAATGAACTTCTTTGCCTTCTCCGACCGCTTCATTTCCTGCATTTCGCGTCGTGAACTACATTGAGCAGTCAGTAACGTTGCTTCTAGACCTCCTCGCACACGATCGCTATGCAGCCGACAGAAAAGAAAAAAAACGTTTATTGTGCGAAGTCTTGTATGTGCAGTTGTTTGTGATAATCATACCGCAGCGAGTACATGGAACAATGTGATCGGCATCTTCCAAACTTCGCGCTCTGCTTCAATATTTCTTTCGTGAAACGCATTTTGTCTAGAGGAAAGGATGGGAGAAATGCTCGTTCATGCTGCAGCACCGCAGATCTTTGTCCGTTACGAAGTATAAAGGCTACTCTACAATGGCGTAAGAGTATAGTTGTAATTCCCGTTCCTATTATCAAAGTTCAAAAAGTTAATCTCTAGTGATATCCGGTTAATATAGATTTACAGATATAGAACCAAATTAATGGTTTCTGCCAACAATTTGCTCACGATTAAAGAAACGCAAAATGCACTTGCTCAAGATAAAAGTTCAACTTATACAGCCAATATTAACCGTTTAGAGTTATTTGTTATTATTATTATAGTTTAAAACTCTTACATTATTATTATATAAAAATTATAATATTAGGATTTTTTATTAACAAGTAAGATCAAATTATTTTATATATATATATTATATAAAATATATAATATGTATAAGTATATAATATATTTATGTATATGTATAAATATATAATATGTATAAACATACTAAGAGAAAAAGAGAGTTAAAACAATATTTTTTAGAAATAAAACAATTTTTTTTACCGAACAATTATTATTAAAACCTCGCATTTATGCTATTGGAACATTTCTTATAATAATTGAGAAATTTTTTAGTCCAAGCATAACTTCTGCATATTATACATAAAATTAGTAATACCGTTGCTACGACGCTGTTATACGCATTTTTTAAAGAATATGTGTACAAAAAACAAATATAAGAAACATAAGAAAGAAATAATTGCAGATTTATAATATCGCATGCTTTCCACGCTTGTATTAGTTATATAGATTAGAACGAAGACCGATGAAGACTATACTATGAACATATGTTTTTCACATTTGACGCTGTAAATCTTGGTGCGAATATTAAACCATTCACATTCGATTTTCGTAATTTATTAAGTTATATAATACAAGTTATAAATTTAGTTAAACGTAGCAATATTAGTAGAAACCAATCAGCACCCCCCTCTTTCTACACCGAGATTTCATTTAATTTATGTTTCTGTAAACTTCAGATTAAACCAAATTGATAGAAACGGGCATAAGTTCATAAGACACGGTTGTTAGGGATTACACGCTTGTTTGTGGTAAAGTAACTGGTTTAGTGGATTGTAACTTGAGATTGTAAGTGAAATGAATTATTTTTATTTTCTATATTTTATCCACCAATCAAAACAAAAAAGTATAGAAGCTCTAACGTTCTGCCTTCTTATTGGCTTGCCTTACTTTTTTGTGTAAGCTGTTATAAGCGGCATCGTTTTAAGAACAATTTTTAAGTTATATCAAACAAGTTTTAAATTTTACTACAATTCTATTTTAATTGTTTAATCTTTATTGTTTGTTGCGTCTATAAGGCTACACACGAACGTCTTGTATTGCCATGCTTGATATTGATGCCAAATCGAAGTAATTATCTATGCCGTGTAAAAGGTATTTAATGATTTTTAATTTAGGTTGAATGCTCATCTTATATGACGTGGTGAAGATCTATTCTCTTTTATTTTTACGTATTTGTCATTGTAATTAATATGGATTACACACATAATTAACATGGATTTATGCATTTGCGTTTTGCTGGCTTTGATATTTTGACATTGTTAAATCGGGCTAAAAAGAATCTAAACAATTAGAACCGAATTGTTTGTTCGTTCAATTTACTAAATGTAAATTTTTCTCCTTCATTATTAAATATTGTTTTGCTCCGACACCAACGTTTGACTGTTATTTGCTTTTCATTTCTATTGATTAAATTTTACCATTTTAAATAATCACTACGAACTTATAACCACATTGTTGCGATCATTATAGAATAGCCTTAATAGCGACACAAGGCACGCTATCACAAAAGCTCTTCGCTACTCTTTTTCGCCATTCCATTATTCACCAGTTTGCGATTTTCCTGAACACCGAAAGATNGGGGGGGGGGGAATGTTACAAAACTACTGTCGATCACAGGCTGCCCACATGCAGCCAAGCGCTCAGCCGCGATACATGAACGTGTCGGTGTACGGTGACGTATCGGTGAGCTGATGGGGACACCCAGGTACATATAAATGAATCTCTTACGTTCACTCATACGTGTTCCTTCTCGTGCTCGCGCGCAGTGTTTAGAAAGTCGGCGGCAACGAGAACACCATCGTCGTCGTCGTTGTTAGAGGAAGTACATCTTAGTACCAGAAGGTGGTAAGCAACCAAGAAAGGTGTACGTTGAGTTTAGGTGGGGGCATCTCTAAGTTAGCGGTGCTAGCGCTTCCTCGACGTTCACTGCTCGCTGACTCGCCGAGCCATCGACATCGGGTGCACTGGAGCAGCGAGAGAATCTTGAGATCGCCCATTAGGAGTTGGTTTAGGAAGTGGAACAGGACCAAGAGAAGAAGGTGGGAGAGAGAAGGAAAAAAAAACGAGGGACGACCAACGTTTTCGGGCTTGAGCGGTCATATTTGTGCTACGAAAATCTGGTCGAGAGTATCGCGCTCGTAAAAGACGAAGAGAAGAAAATGGAGAAAGAACAGCCGGACTCTCTGGCGACGGTTGCCGTCGTCTCAGACAAGATACCACAGACTCATAGTCACTACGCGCCCAGCGAGGTCTATTCTACTACTGAGCCGCCACCGGTAAGCTTTTCTAAGAGATATATGTTAATACATAAATCAATATTAGTACAATATTAGCAGGTCTAATATTAATAGTTATCTATAATATTTATCTTACAACTTTCTGATTTCTGAATTTGCGAGCAGCTGTAATCTCTGAGCTTCCCCATATAAAAGGACTTTGTTTCTTCGAGAACTGTCACTCGAAGGAAAATATTTAATTTTTAAATAGATAAAGCGATTCGAAAGAGAAGGGATTCCTATTTGGTTGAAATAGTACTTATGTTCATTATATGACGAAATAAAATATTTTCATTTTGTTTACGATCTTGTGTTAAGGCCATAATTACTACTAGAACTACAAATCACAGAATATCTACCTGAGCGAATCGGAAATATTATTTTAACATTTAACTGTGATTATGAACAACGTCACTTTCTGAGGAACATCTATCCATCAAGATGCTGTATACGTAGCCCTGTAATTAAGAGAAAATAGCTTCCTTGTGGTTGATATAAATGCAAGATATAATAAAGCGAGATACAACGTCAGTTTCGACGAAATCGTACTACGGCGACTGAATCGCAGGATAATTTCAAATGCGCGCGGCCAATTCGGAATGGAGAAATGTAATAGTACGTATGCGATATGGAAATAATTGCGATTTGTCGATCGACCTGCCGTCGTGATTGAGTGTCGATCTCTGCAATGAGAAAGTTATAGTGGTGAATGGTGAATTTTCGGAGCCTGATACTACTTCAGAGAATCCTTAATTACCCATGCTTTTAAAAATAGGCTAAAGTAGTGTCAGCCCAGTATCGACAATCGATTTCCGACATTATTCTCGGCTCACTACTGACATAATATTCAAATGATAAGATCGATCTAACGTTATGTACCAATGACGATGACATTTCTATCCATCTGGATTCCGTACACAAAGCGCTGCAATTAATCCTTATGTCAATAGATACCCCAGATGGGTACCTAAATATCCTTTCTAAATTAAATATTATAATTTTTTTCGCTTGCAGGCGAATTTTGTTACGACGTTTTAAATCCCCATTCTGTGAGTAAAATAGAATTTTTTTGCACCAATCAGATGTTTTTATCTTTTTT